TAATAACATAAATAAATTTCCCACCACCACAACAACAACAACTACAAGAACAAGAGCTATTCAATTTTACTGTAAACTATGTAATTTCATGATTCTAATTAACTTCACAGTTTATAGCCCAGTTTTTGTTTCTGTTCTTTTCCCAATGTGTCAATGGAAAGTAAAATCAATTATGTGAACAGTTTTCCCCCCGAACAAATACTGGACAAAATGGCTTAGAAATTATAAAATTTAAATTTTACTAATTAGCAAATTTTAATATTCATTTGAAAATTAGTTTCTAATTAAAAAGAAAAGCCTTTAAGCATTATAAAATGCATTTGAAAAATAAAAATGAATGTGAGAAATATAGAGAAGGGCAAATGGTCATGAAGGAAGAAATGTGGAGAAAGCAAAGAACCATTGAATGGAAATATGGATGCCAATTAAACTCGTACAAGAAATAGGGAGAAAACTTGAAGTGGATGGCATTTCTTAGAACTCAAGAGAGAATTTTTTATGCCAAATTACAGGCATATCGGATAAATGCTGCCTTCAAAATAACGAATGTTGGTATATGGAAGCTATACAAAAAAGAAAAAAAAAACAGTAAGGAAAGTAGTAAAGTCGGACTGGGCCGACTATATGATACCCTTCACCACTTTGGGTATATTCTGCATATGTATCCTAACAGACGACGCGTTTTTGTTATATATTTATATCTGAACCGATTTCAGGGAAACTTGCAAGAGACAAATTTATATTACATCAGTACGTCAGTCGGCCTAGCTATGGATCTTTTCACGAAGCTTAGCAACATCATTTTAGGCTTAATTCAGTACCCTATACCAAAATTCGTACAAATCGAAATATATATAGGTTCTTTGGTGCACCAATTACCACAAAGCACATGAAAATATGTATGGGAGCTATATCCAAATCTGAACCGATTTTCACGAAACTTGGCAGACATCATTCTAGACCTTATTCATTAAGCTGTGCCCAATTTCGTGCAAATCGAAAGATATATAGGGACTTTGGTGCACCATTTACATTAAATCGAACGAAGATGTATATGGGAGCTATATCAAAATCTGAACCGATTCTCACGAAACTTTGCACACATCATTGTAGACTTAATTAAGTACGCTGTGTCAAATTTCGTGCAAATCGAAAGATTTTCCAGGGACTTTACTAGACTATTTACCTAAAATCGGGCGAAATTATATATGGGAGCTATATCTAAATCTGAACCGAATTTCACGAAACTTTGCACACATCATTGTAGACTTAATTAAGTACGCTGTGTCAAATTTCGTGCAAATCGAAAGATATATAGGGACTTTGGTACACAATTTACCTTAAATCAGACCAAGATATATATGGGAGCTATATTTAAATCTGAACCGATTTTCACGAAACTTTGTACATATCAATCTAGGCTTAATTTAGTACTCTGTGCCAAATTTCGTGCAAATCGAAAGATATATAGGGACTTTGGTGCACCATTTACCTTAAATCGGACGAAAATATATATAAGTGAGTTATATACCATGGGTCTATTTCGATTATTTTTGCCTGTTACAAACATATGCACAAAGACATAATACCCTGTACCACAGTGTGGTGAAGGGTATACAAATTAATGGGTGTTAATAATTTTTAAAGGAAAATTTCACATCCCACGAAAACAGGAAAAAATTAAATTGGAGCCAATTCGGAAATTTGAAGTGGATTATATTTCTAAGAACCCAAGAAATAACACCCTAATATTAAATTACAGGCAAATCGGAGGAAAAGCGGCCTTCGAAATATCGAAAGCTGGTGGTACTGTTATTTAGGAGCTATACCAAAATATTAACGGATATTAATAAGTTTTTGAAAGTAGATTTCATAACCCATAAGAACCGGAAAAATTATATTAAAGCCAATTCATTTCGGAATATATGGAACTATCATTTAATAATTTGTCAATATTTTGGAGGTGATAAAAAATTCGGAAGGTTGAAGCTTGAAGCTACAATCCACTGTATATCTAAGAACCCAATCTAGAACCCTTTAATGTCAAATTACGGGGAAATCTGAAGAAATGCGGCCTTCGAAATATTATTTTGATAGAAGATTTTTTATTGCATTAGAACCGGAAAATTCAATTAGAACCCATTCGGTTCAGAATATATGGGATAATAATCTGTCAATATAATAATCTGTCAATATTTTTGTTGTGCTAGAAAATATGATTACGATTTATGACAGTTAAATTTTAAGTTTAGCCAAAAAATTCAAAATTTTTCGCATTTCAAATATATTTATGTCGAATCACAGCTGTCGAATTTTTGTTGCTTAATTGTCTACAATTTTTTTATTGTTGTTGTCCTGTTAGCAGAATTTAATTAAATATAATTTCATTTGCAAACAAATCCATTTGATTAATTAACATTTTTGGGCATTTTGACAATGTCAGCAGCAGTAGCAATAACAACAACAACTGTAGTGGCAATAATATTTCCACATATATGCGTTTTCAATTAAAACAAGATTTATAACCGATTGTTGTGTTTTTTTATTTTTCTTCTGCTCAAACCAACCAAAAAAGAGTGAAATTTTTCGTTTGAGCAAACAAATATTGTTTTTTAATAAAACATGAACCCGCCATCAAAGAGTAAAAAAAAAAACGAGAACAAAAAACCTGCAGCCTACAACAATAAAAGGGAAAAGAGAGAAATCGGGAGTCAAGCCAAAACTAAATCAAAAATAATAACAACAAACTTTTGACACACTTCCGTTTAACCCAGAAACGTAAAACAAATATACATACAAAACGTGAGCACAGAAACCCACAGTCAGGCAGACAAACAGACGGAGTTTCTCTTTGTCTCTTCTGAAAAAAACAATAATAACAACAACAAAGCAAATATCCTTAACCCCACAAAAATGAAACGCATTTTCATTTTTGTGAAAAAATATACATTTGTCTGTGTTTGTGGAAAATGGTGAAAACAATCATAAATTTGTTTTGTTTGTATTCGCACTATCTCACACACACACAAAATATGAATATGAATGACCTACCTACATACAGAGCTGTCTTCCAACTCAAATAAATATTCAAATAAATAAACTGCTATCGATTATACCAGGTCAAGAGTGTGGTTGTAAGCAAAACACAAAAAAAAGTTTACACAAGTTAAACGTTTAGTTTTATATTCGTTCCAAATAGCACCCCTCCCCCCGCATTCAATAAATTATGCGCAATAAATGTGAAAATGAAACCTCCAAAATTTTCGGTTAGAAATGACTGCAACACTCCATTTGTTATTTATTGAACAAAAATAAAATGCAAACGATTTCAAAAATTCAAAAAAGAAAGAAGCGAAGAACAGAACTGAACAGAACAGAAAGTAAGTTTTGAAATATGATAAAATGCCCATTATAATAAAATATGCGAAAGAAGGTATGCATAAGTTTGGCATGGATGAATTGCAGAATACCCTTCATTAAGGGAAATAAATTGTATTTTGGGGGGAAAAGTCAATGCAGTTTACATAAGCAAGGAAAAATGTATTAAGGATTTTCTTGCAAAGAAATTGGGTTAGCAAAAATACCAATGGGTTCTTAAAGATTAAAAAAATATTATCGCTATATGAATTTTTAAGAAAATTCTATGGATCTACAATTTTTCAAAAAAACCTCAACTGATCTTCAGCAAGTTTTTAAAAATACAAGGAAAACCTGAAGTTGATATCATTTCTAAGAATCTAGTAGAGGACCCTCTATGCCAAATTACAGGTACAACTACAGGATGAAATACGGCTCTTAAAATATCGAAAGTTGGTGGTACTTTTATAAAAATATTGACGGATATTGATAATTTTTGAAGGAAGATTTCATACTCTATGAGAAGCGGAAAAAATTAAATTGGAGCCAATTAGGAAACTTAAAATGAATGTAATTTCTAAGAACCCAAAAGAGAACCATTTGTGCCAAATTGGAGGATTAAATCAATGGGTCTCTAATTAAAAAAAAAAAATATTTAAAAAAATAACTTCAACCGATCTTCAACAAGTTTTTAAAAATACAAAAATTTGAAAAAGCAATTTTATGTCATAAAAAACCTTCTACGGATTCTCTATATTCATATAAAATATTCTACAAAATATTGCCGGAGAATTTGATATCACCATGTAGTTCAGAATTGGGTATAAAAACCATCCCAATTTTCCGTATACCCCACATTACATAGTGTAAGGCATCAAACCCAAATCTCTTAAAACTAACAGGGCAAGCAAATTTTACTAAAAAAACACACACACTTTATCGATAACTGGCTAAAGCATGCTTGCAAAATTATGATTTATGTTTCACAAAAAAGAACTGGGGATAAGAACAAAGAGAAAATATAACACGTTTCGACAATTTGGTTATTGCTTTTGCAACAAAAGCTATATGATTGAGAAACAAAAGATGAAAATTTGCTGAAAAAAACATCTTTTATTCGTCCTCTCCCTTCACCGAAAATTTAACAGTCGTTGAAGTTTAAAGATTGCCTTGTTTTTGCCTCTCGACTTCTCCTTCTTGTATGGTATTGAATGCATTTAGCATTTATTGGCAAAGTTGTGCAAAGTTTTGTGTGGTAAAATTATTGCACCACAAAAGCATTGCCTATTTTGTGGTGCACATTCTATTATTGCATACATTTTGGGGTAGTTTTTTTTTCTTTTGGTCTATGCAATTTGCCAATGTGCTTACCACTAACATTAAGATTTATTGTCTAACTTGTGGTTCTTACGATTTACAATGGTTGTTTTTGGATGTAAAAGTGTGTGTGTGTGTGCGAACATTAGCATATGTTAATATGCTTGGTTTTTATAACAGATCAGCAGATTTTGTTAGATATGTTAAAAACACACATATATTTGAAATTTATATTTTTAACGATTTTTTTTTTGCTTTTTTGCCAAACTAAGCGGTATTTTATATTAATGTTCTTGTTTCTCTCCCCCCCCTTTCCTTTCTTTACAGCTGTAAGCTCAATGAAGCCCAACATGGATACCACAAATTGTATCCTAGTCCAAGATGTTAAATCACAACCCCATGATTTACATGGCAATGCAAAGACAAACATACTCAACGGCAATAGTTTACAACCGACGGCATATCCCACAGAAGAATCAATACAGACCAGTACCCTCGATCATAGTTCAAGCATTGGCTTGGGCGGCATGATGTCGGGTGGCTTCCAGAATTTGGCTCCCTCGCTGCAGTTGCAACATCAACAACAGCTATTGCTACAGCAACAACAACCACACTCTATCAATCAGCAAATTGGCGGCGGACTGGGCATTAACAGCAACATAATGTTGGGTCAGGATGCCACATTGCCGCATCTGCAGGACCAATCGTATACGGCACAACAACAACAGCAGCAGCATCATCATCAACCTCTCTTAAAGTGGCCACAGGTAGTCGAACTGAAGGATTTCAATGAGTTGTATCATGCCAATATACCCGCGTATCAATTCTGGACATTGGAATTCCGTAACAAACATCCCGCTTTTGTTCGTTTCAATTTCACCCTGCCCTGGGGCGCGAATTTTGCCGTTTATTCACGTCGCAATGTAGCACCATCTGTAACACAATATGATTTTGTTGAATTTATCAAAGGCGGTCGTGTCGATAGCCATTTGAGGCATAGACGTAATGCACGCTCGCCGGCAAATGATAGCATTTATGCTGCTTTGCACAAGGATCTGGAGACGGAGAATGGTGATTTATCAATGGAAACATCCGCAGAACATTTGCAACGTTTATCTGTCGCGGCAAGGCGACATTACTTTAATGATGGCAATGGGAATGATAACGATGGCGATGGCTTTGAATCCGACGATGATGAGAATGGCTACGATGATGCTGATGCTGACAATGGCGATTCATTTGAATCGTCCTCGGCATCATTTGAATATGCGGGAGATGTTGAAACACCGTTGGACACGGGTAAACAATATGCCCAACGTTTAAGATATCGCCAACATCGTGATAAACGTTCCGCCGCGGGCATGGATGGTGGTCTGCCCGCGCTCGATATGGACACAATGATGGTGAACGTCTCACTGTTACAATATTTGGACACCGGCTTATGGTTTATATCCGTTTACAATGATGAATTGGTCTCACATTCGGTAACGTTGATTGTCGAAGAAGCTGAGGGCGTTAGCACAACTTGCCCCAATGATTGTTCCGGTCGTGGCAGTTGCTATTTGGGTAAATGCGATTGCATTGATGGCTATCAGGGTGTTGATTGTTCGAAAAGTAAGTAAAAAGAGCAAAAATAAAGCTAATTTGATTTTTGGGTATACCTTTTTTTAGTTGAGGTTAATTTCCATAAATAGATACTTCGTCCTACAAAAATATAAAGAAATTTAAAAATCCCAATTAAAATAATCTTCATATGCATTTTAAAGCCTACTTTTAGGCATATCGCATCGATAATGTTTGAATCATGTACTGTGTACCAATGAATTTGTAGTATACTTTCAGGCGTCAAATTGAAAATTAATATCACTGTATGATGTTTTGAAATTAAGACTAACAAGATTTTAGTCCTCAAGCTCTAGGAAGACATTGGTCCACGAGTCAATAAGGAATATTAATTTGTATTTTCAGCATACTTTTGGGCGTCAGTATGACTTTATGGATACCAAAAAGGCTATATCCACGCAGCCTAAAATTATGCGCTATTCTCCCACAGCTATTGGTTGCACAGAATTATGCGTACCATAGAATTTGTAGTATATTTATGGCATTTTCAAGCTTGAGCTATTTATTACGTATAGATTTAGGTACACATAGAAGAGATAATTAAAAGAATATACATTTATATTTAAATCATACTATTTTAAGTTGACGGATAATTTATTGAAACAAATATCTTTAGAGCCTACAAATAACTCATTTCACAGCCTAAGCTAGTGCCGGGTAATATATACCATACTTTCAGGCTTAAGAAGTCCGCATGTGATTTTTGTACACCGGAACATATCACACCAAATTTATTTGTTTCACTGATCTCAAATATGTGTTGTTTCCATCATGGACGTATTTTTTTTAAATTTTAAAGTCTACCTTAAGGCTTGACATAGGAACCGATTGTATTACCCAACTTTTTCCTATATTCATTTCTCTTTCCCACTAGGATCCCATTTCAAAAGCTTCATTTTAATCTCTCAATTAATTTCCACACCATAAACAAAGTTTACGACAACAATAAAAAAAATTGCAAAAAAAAGTCCCATTAAAAATTATGTATCCTTTAGCCAAGTCCTTTTGCTCGATTATTATCATCAACGTTAATTATTGCCATTCAATTGGACATTGAGAGCTAAATAATTTTCTTATTTGTAAAGAATTTTAAATCCATTTTTATGGCGTTGGAAAAAACAACTACAACTGACAAAAAAACTATAGCATACTCTCAGGGGCAAAGTTAACACTTGTTTATTTACTTTGTTGTAATAAAATTTCAAGTCATTATTTATCACCCTTGCAAATGTTAGCCAACTATGCTACCTAGCTAGCTGCCTGCCTCAGTGTCCAAGTAGAAAAAAAGAACCTGTATTGAAAAAATAAACAAAAGCTGTCAACGTCACCTGTTTTTCTTCAAACGGTGTAGAAAAAAACTATAGTTTTCCCCAAACAAGGAAGACAAACAAAAATAACCAACAATAACAAAAAAGTAATATTGTTTTCAACAAATTTCTTACAACAATATATTGCACATACAGCACACACACGTACACACCTGGAAAAAAACAAATATCCTTTTTGTGTGTACCTGTACAACTGGCCAGAAAGCCATATCCTTTGGATTGTTGTTGACGACAACCAACCAGTGTTACTTGCAATAACTTTTCTTTTTTGTTGTTGTTATTGTTCTTTACTTGAATTGAATTTTCCTTTCAGTTTTTGTAGTTGTTGCTGTTGTTTTTCTTTTTTTAGTTTTCCCAACAAAATGAAATCAAACAAACAAATAAACTAAATCCCTCTTCTCTTGTGTTTTCTTTCATTCTCTGCAGGCGTTTGTCCAGTATTATGCTCAGCTCATGGTCACTATGGCGGTGGTGTATGCCACTGTGAGGAGGGCTGGAAGGGCTCTGAATGCGATATACCAGTGGGTGAATGTGAAGTGCCGAATTGTTCAAGTCATGGCCGGTGCATTGAAGGTGAATGCCACTGTGAACGTGGCTGGAAGGGACCTTTTTGTGATCAACGTAAGTAAAAAAGCAAACGATTTACAAACAAATGGAAGGAAAAGAAATGAATTTAAGGTAGCATAACTGGCGCCGCCTGTTTGGCTCCAGGACAAACAAAAAGTAAGAAATGAATGGATGAATGAATGTTTGTGTGTTTGTTTTTCTTTTGACATGCCACAAAAACAAAATTGTCCTTAAGACAAACATTTGGCCATTTGGCAAAAAAGGAATTGTTGTAAAAAACCAAAACCCTGCAATAACAATTGTTGTATTGTAATTTTAAAGCCAACATATGTTGTAGCCTTTACAACTAACTCCAAGACTAACAAACAATCTGTTCAAAGAAATTGCTGGTAATTCGAAGTTGGTTTTTAATGACCTTTGTTCTTGGAACGTGTTAAACATGCTAATATTTGTTGTTGTTCAAATCTGAGGCTCTCTCTCGCTGTCAATCCCTCTACATTTCTTACTAAGTTTATATTGATATCCGGTTATTTTGTATTTTGAATAATAACCTAATGTTTTCCTTATCTTTTTCATCCTTTTTTTCTCTGTATTCACCCACTAACCCGTTTGCCTGCCTGCGTCCTGTTTTTATCTATCCAACCATTTTGTAGACGATTGCCTGGATCCATTATGTTCAAGTCATGGTACATGTGTGGCTGGCCAATGTTATTGTAAGGCCGGTTGGCAAGGTGAAGATTGTGGCACCATTGATCAGCAGGTATATCAATGTTTGCCTGGTTGTTCGGAGCATGGTACATATGATTTAGAGACTGGTCAATGTGTGTGTGAACGTCATTGGACTGGACCGGATTGTTCGCAAGGTAAGTGAAAATTAATAATAAATACATAATTTGTACACTGAGATGAAATAATGTCCTTACAAAATAAAAAAAATCATTTTAAAGGATTATCTTCAAGTTCTTAACATTGTCCCCATATAAAGGTTCCGACCAATTTTACATACTTTGCACGGTCATCTTATGGTGAAATTTTTTTAAAGTTTTACTCAGTCGAATTTAGGAACTTTTACTTATTTATTTCGATCGTAATTTTTCTCAGTGTACCTGAATCCCTTTACTTGTATTTCTATTCTTGTATATCTATGTGTAGCATATTTTAAAGGTGTTAAGATATTCATATAGCATATGTAATTGAAATAATTTTAACAGTTTTCAATAAACTAATGAAAACTCATTAACATTATACTAGGTTTAGAAATTATAAACATGTTCTAATACACCATCTTAACTATGATTGGGCCGTAAAACATTTGTATCCATAATGGGCCACAAAAGGACCAATTTCTTCAGCAATACGCAACCTGAAACGAAAGGAACAAAGAAAAT